TTTTTTTTTTACCTCAAAAATGCATTCATGCAGTCCGGCAATACAAACATGATTCCACACGCAAAACCTAAGAACAGACTGCTGTAAGCGTGCGGAAGATGCAGGAAATACCACAAAGTAAGAACGATGTACAAAATCCCAGCGGCAGAGCTCTATAACAAATTTGACATTGAGCCTAGCACAAAAACTAAATAAGATTTTTCCTGGTCACTGTCTTGTGACACCTGTGGCAGAGTTTCTTTAAACAACTCATATCCTTTCAATGCGCTCTTCCATTGGTCAAAGTCAAAATTTCTCCTGGTATCATTGGTTCACCGGACCTGTACTTATTTCTTTGTTATAGAAAATTTACTAAAAAGTGCCCGTTGACTGCCCACAAACTACTTTTTAGCCTGACCTGCAAAATAGGCGCTCTTTCACAGGCGTCGCTCTTTAAGTCATCGAGTGCATACATCTGTACATGTTTTGGTTACAATTTCTACTTATTTTTCCTTTCATTTACTTCCAAGCGGGATATAGGGCATCTATTACCCTGCAGAAAAAAAATTATCAATTGATAAAAATAATCTACTTGTAGTTAGCTTTTTTGCGGGATTTCTATAAAATATATAAATTGTAGTTAGCTACGAAAAGCTGACTTGAAACTAGTTGACAAGTAATGCAGTAGTAATGAAGAAGATTGTTTGCTTTAAACGTGTTTCTATTTAAATATCCTGCACTTCGCAAATAATTTTGAGGATTGAGGAAAAATAAAATAAAGATCGAAATTTCATATTATCATTTTGAAGTTATGTCTGACGGAGTTCGAATATGGGACTACCCATGATACAAAAAAGAAGGTAGTTTCAATAAACAACTTTTTGATTAAAAAGCAGATTTTTGACAATTGCTCAATTGTGAAAAATTCGAAGTGGCGTTACCCAATTGTAAGTTTTTTGGTGTGGGAGATTTTTTATCCCAAATTTGGGGTTATAAATAAAATAGTTGTGTTAATATTTACCCTTTAAAAATAATTAATATCCTATCTTAAAAATTTTTAAATTTTACATTAAATTCGATAACAACTTGCCAAATCATTATCATGAACATATTTTAAAATTTTTTTAGTGTCCTCATGTTATCTGATTATTTCACAATGTAGTTTTCTATATCGGATACGATGATTCTGATATAATTCAGACACTGAAATTATACATTTCGATGTGTTATTTAATTCATATTGTCTTTGTCCATTTAACAGCAAATGGAATTTACTTTGGAACCCATGGGCCGTGAAATTTTTCCAGCAACACATATTGTTTTCACATGAAATTTTTACACACCCAAAAGTGAAGTATAAAATAAATAGATAAAAACAAATTTTCAATCAACCTGATTTGTGTAGTTCAGGGGCGCTTTGGTAAATGTTCTGGAGGCTGTTTTAATATATACTATCTTATTATATATTTCTTAGCTTTTCTACATTCTGAGAAGTTGAGAGAATGAAGTCTAATGTTCTTTTTTGGTCAACTATGACGTTTGATTTCATTTTTTGCAATCATTAGTTCATTTCCCTTGAGGAGTCACAATGCCCATACCGGCTATACCGATTTTTTTGAAATTTCGGACACAAATTTTCCAAGAATGGTTATAGGCTAAAACAAAACCGATATCTAAAGGGGGTGTGGAACCTCCCATACAAATCGAATTTTTCATAGTGCATATCTCTGAAAGTATTTAGGGTAGAGTCCTGGAACTTGGTATGTATATATGTCAATTTCAAGCTCATGGAAAAATATGGGTTTATTGGAAAATACAGCGTGCCACCGTAGAACTGGAATAGAGGTAAATGAAATCAATCCCAAATCTATGAAAAATGGGGGTATATGAAAACGATCTCGTATCTGGCTACGAGAGCTAGCGGTATAAGCCATATAAACTAAAATTCTGGTGACGCAGAAAGAGATGAAGATGAGAGATGAGAAAAACGGGCGCGACACCTTCTGGAAAGTAACATGATCACAGGGTGTATCCCTAGAACTATATTAAGCTAAACCTTGAGGGATGAAATTCTTGCCAATACCGACAGGCATAAGCTGAAGTCGCGTTGCAAGTTTTACGATCGGCTTGGGTAAGGTTTAATCACTTAACCCCTCTTTGTTTTCGCTGCTACTGAATTCTATAAAATGTCGGCTTTCACACAATTTAAAATGTACACGTGTTTTTAAAAATGCCATGAAAATTGTGTTGCTAGCTTCATGTTGCAAGCTTTTTCAAAGCGTGAACAGAATACTACTTTGCAGAGGAAATGTTATGGAATTTCACACTTATTTCACAGAAACAAATTTTATATGCACTTTAGCAGCTTTTTCACGTGAAACAGGAATTAAATACTATGCTTAAGAACAAAGATTTTTAAATCGACAAAAAATTAATAAGAAAATTTGAAGGATTTTAGATATTGGGTATGGTAGCACGAAATGTCACAATCTGCTTAATTGTCAGGTTGTTAATATGGCGACGAAAAAGTGACAATGGAACTACCTTGTTTTTTGTATCATGATAAGTTCAAAACCAAAAGAATTTTTTGAAAGGAAACGTGCTGATTTAAAAAACTGTCAGAAATTAATGTTTGATGTGTCACACGTGAAAACTTGTATTGCTAAGGGTAAAAAACCGTATACAATCGGTGAGACACTCGTGGCAGGATGTATTAAGGATGTGTGTTGGGAAATGTTGGGAAATGTTGGGTGAGCCGGCGGCAAAGAAAGTGGCTCAAGTGCCACTCTCAGATCACACTATACATCGACGTATTGAAGATCTGGCTCATGATATGGAAGATCAGTTAATAGAACAGATTAAAACATCTAAGTATTTTGCGTTGCAGTTGGACGAATCTACGGATGTTGCCAATTTGGCAATTCTTATGGTGTATGTGCGATTTCAATATAAAGACGACTTAAAGGAAGAGTATTTCTTTTCTAGTTCCCTACCAACAAATACCACTAGCTCTGAAGTATTCAAGGCACTGAGAGAGTACATCGTTGACAAATGTGAGTTGGATTTCAAATTCTGTGTTGGTGTATGTTCGGATGGAGCTGCGGCCATGACTGGGCGGCGTTCTGGAGTAGTTACACAAATTAAGGCGTTAGCACCAGAATGCAAGTCAACGCATTGTTTTATTCACCGTGAGAGTCTCGCCACCAAGAAAATGTCCACAGAACTGAATAGTGTTCTCAGCGAAGTTGTTAAAATTGTTAACCACGTGAAGGCGAACGCTTTAAATTCAAGACTGTTTGCTGCACTGTGCGATGGTATGGGGGCTGAACCCAAACAGCTCCTATTGCATACCGATGTGCGTTGGTTGTCAAGAGGCAAAGTATTGTCAAGAGTTTTTGAGTTGCGAAGTGAGCTCACCAAGTTTCTCCAGGACAAAAAACCAGATTGGTCAGCACTATTTCAAAATATAGATTGGATAGCCAGGTTAGCTTATTTGGCAGATATCTTCGCCAACTTGAATGAGCTCAACACCACCATGCAAGGAAGGATGGCTTCGTGCTTTACAATGGCAGACAAAATCGATGGGCAGAAACGAAAGCTGGAAGTGTGGAGAAGACGAGTATCAGCGGATTGCTTTGATATGTTTCAAAATTTGGCAATAACCATCGCCGATACAGACGAAAAACTTGATGTTCCATCCCTTCGAAGGGTCATTAGTGAACATTTGACAAATTTAGTCGACCGTTTTGAGCACTACTTTCCGGCAGAAGATGATCCACGAATAGGTACAGGATGGATACGAAATCCATTTATTGCTTCGAAGGCTGATCTGGCCGTC